TATGCTCCTTACTAGAGATTCAACTAACCACGCATATCTTATGGTTAATGGCCAGCCCCAGAAGGAAATAAGCCTGAAAATTACCTCAATATCACATCTACCAATGCACATTATGTTCATGAAGCACAATGGAATGATAGGGCAAAAGCGTAATGCTCCAATTCCTATCTTGTAGTAAAACCGGAAATCCGGGTATCGTCTCTCAGGGACTGGTACAACCTTAAGTTCTATCAATTTTATGAGCAAACTATAAGTGAAAATAGTTCATGAGACTAATTTCTAAAAGCAAAATAAACTAGACAAAGTAACTAAATGATAACTGTCGGGAGAAATTCAATGGAGAAAGCTCTGGGAGAAACACCGGAATTCACTACCTATCATATCCAAATTAATTCACATATTCTAATCGGTTTAATCCAATTCTCTACAGCCAGGATATCACTACTGTGCTAGCTACCTTTGTCAGGAATTACTACGTACTAAACAATTAAATCAAATCCTACTGTCGTAGCTCAATGACTTAATTATTTAGCCTGAAGATCGATATCCTATTTAAGACCGCATAGCACCTTATTTAATCCACTGTCGCTTCGATAAGTTACTATGTCACATAAAATAGGTTCAGTTATTAGGGTTTCGCTGTCGCTAATAACCTAATTAACTACAAATTGATGTATTGGTGGCCAGTCAACACAAAGCATTAAATAATTTCATGCAATAGAGATTGGAAGAAAACAAATATAAATCAATCCATCAAGTATAAAAATAGCTATATCCTATGGTGTTTCCCCAGAAATTGGGGTTTAGTTCATGACGAAAATAAAACAAACAATCATGTTCATAATCATCACGTTACGAATCAAAACAAAAGGAAAAGATACTGAATTATTTGACGTTGTTTGATTCTATTTTCCTCTCGCTCCAATCGCCGATCGTTGCTCTCGAATCGCCATGGCGCTACGCTCCGCTCTACTCTCCTCTCGATGCTGCTCCAAGTCGCCGCCAAGCTTCTCCAATTATTTCGCCTCCTCCTCAATTATGTGTCCAAGTATATATATATATATATATATATATATATATATATATATATATATATATCCGTCTTTTCTTCTCCCGAAGAGGACAAATGAGTTGGTCCATATAATTCCCAAAAATGGCCCCTCCAAAAGCTTCCCTCTCTAACCCTTCTCGTTCTTTTCCCCCAGAGAAATTCCCTCTAGTTAATTTCCTCTTCAAGGCCGCCAGCTCCCCCAGTAATAGGCCCGGCCCAAAAAATAATCCCCCTCTTGGTCTCGTTTCCAATTCGCCTCCATATCAAGGGACTCCGGGCCATAATTTTCCAGCCCAGTCGAGTCACTTCCGACCCACTGCTCCTCCTAGCCCAAGTGAATATTCAACCAGTGATTCAAGCCCGATTGATTGCTTGTGCAATTTCTTCTTTTTCGTGCTTTCTCCACCTGTAACATATCAAACTCATGGCACTAGGCAGTAATGGTTTTTCAACCATTTATGGATTAGCGAGCCCTAAAATAGCACCAATCGGCTTAAACAGATCATAGGATAGTCACATAAAGTTCAAGAATCCGATATATTAAAGCCGATTATCATGGAACAAGAAGCCAAATCCACCAGGATTTGGAAATCCAACTCAATATAAGGAGCAAGGAGGAACTTCTTCCAATCACCAACCTACTAGATTCAAGAAACTTAAGGAAACAGTCATCAACTTGCGAGCAAGCTATCAGAGTATCAAACGATAGCACTCATGACTAATTCTATACCACAAAAGCATTAAGGGAATCTTCCCAACAATACATAGAATAATCTTAAGAAGGAAGAAGCCAAAGTAATCTCGACTAGGATAGGAGTATCCAAGAGTTTCAAAACTGGGTAGATGATCGGCGAGAGGGAGGCTTCAATATGGGCTGGTATGTGTCTAGTGCTAATGTTGGAAAGAGAGCTTCAATGCATAGGGAGAATTACGAATCACTCTTGAAATGATTTTGAAACAATACAGAAGGTTTTCCATAAAAGCTAGTAATAGGGTCTTTTGTACTAAAGTTGTGGTTCACCATGGTTCAACTATTTCCTACTGCTAAAACAACCTATCAATTTGAGTTAGATATTTTCGATCTGACCAGCTAGTACATTAGGGTTTCGAAAATATTGCATTCTTGAAGGCGACAACTTTGATGACAAGGCGAGCTGGAGTAAAGAGAGGTTGGTGGAGATGGTGATAAAGATAAGTCTCTTTGTCACCTGTAAAATTTGGGGGAAAGAAAAGTAATCCCGGAGGAAGAAGAAGCAATGACAAGGAAATCATATAATGGAAAGTTGGGAATGATAGAAGTGGATTTAAAAAAAAGAGGCAATGACATAATTGAAAATTTTGATCAAATAAGGAGTTTGGCCTGCTTTAGGAAACTTATGGTCAACTTTGAGTTTTCTAGTATGTTTTATGGGTTTTATGGTGAAGTGCCTTCAGATATGCTTTATGAGATATTTTGTCTACTTTATGAGTTTTGTGGTGCGGTTTGTCTTTCTAGTTAGCTCTTTTATATTTGTGAAAATACTTATGAGTTATGTGGTGTGGTGATCTTCTTGTCTGCTTTATGAGTTTTCTAGTCTAGTGAGTGGTGTAGTTTATCATGTTTTTGTCTGATTTTTCTTGTATATATTATGATGCTTGTGGTTCACACGAGTGTTCCCCTTTAATATACAAAATCTATATTAACTGTTGTCAACCCCTTTTATATAAAAATAAAATCACCAAAAAGAAATATTTCTAGACTGGATTAATTTTAGTAGCATTCTAAAAAATTAGGTACTATTACCTAACTCCCCTTCATAAATGGTCATCCTAGATTCAATTTGGGACAGGATAGAGTGTTAACTTCATAGGAGTTAGTACCTTGCTAACGGCTCCAATCACTGTTTATTTTTTTAAGTTGAAACTGACGGTGGTTATTAATAAAGGGCTTGTTCGGTATTTCACAAAATTAAAAATTAAAAAATTATTCTCTCTCCTCCGTGTATTAGTCATTTTCAACTGAAAAATTAATAATAAATTCAAAACTACTTAAATCAGTAGTCATTTTGGCAGATAGTAGTGATTTTAGGATTTTTTTCATAGTAGTGTTTTTAGGATTTAATTATTATCAGTAGTACTTTAGAAACTTTCTAATAGCAATTTGATTGTCATATGTAGTGATTAGTCATCAAAAACCACTACTACACCATATATCCCCAATCACTGTTAATATAAACCAATGCTATTGAGAATAACTACCACAAATCTGGAAAAAAAATACTACAAATCTGAAAAATAACTACTACAGATCTGTAACAAATTGTCATTATAAATCTAATTGTGAAACCACAACTGACCACGATGCTGACTTTGTTGTTGCGGTGATGATGATGTTTGACAGAAGACAGAGACTTGGATGCGGCGGTGGCGGTGGCAAACAGGAGAAAGGAAGACGACGGCTAATGCAAATATCGGACATAGGTTGGTTAAAAGTATTTGTAGGTAGGGTAACCACTAAAGAAAAGTACTTCTGTTGCGGAAGATCAACATTAACCGCAACCTCAGAGCATACTTGACTTTCCTTTAGTGGTGGAACGGAGAGGGAAAAGAGAAGGGTGGAGTGGTGTGGTGTGGTTTGGTTTGGGTGGAAGGGAGGGGTGGTATTTATTGTTTTTTTTTTCTTTTTGCAGGGGAAGGGGTTTGCTGGGATGCTGGGTGAACTACCTGGATCGCTGATAAGGCCAGTAATCCAACGGTCTTAGGCGCGCCAGCCCATTGAATCGCGTGTCGGATCAAGTGGTTCGCTCGCTAGTGAGGAAAATAATGCGGATCCCGCCGCCAAACGAGAATCTAACGGTGTTCCGCTCGCCAACCAAGCGATCCGCGTCCCCCTCTCATTGTCAATGTGAGTGGTTCGCTTGTCCACCACATGATCACCTCTATGTGTCGTGCATTGCTTGTCTGGGACGTGATCCGCACCATTTGAATTCGGCCAGCTACCGCAAGCCACGTATCTCGCCGCTCCTGAAAGCGAACTAATTGTGGTTCGATGCGCTTTGAGGTAATCTGTTTGGTAGTTCGTTTGCCTGTGCAGCGAACAACGCCAAACTTGAGCATTTTGGAATTTTTTTTTAAGTGTGGTATTGTGAGAATTATTTTTTAAAACTTGAATATTTTAGGACTATTGATACCAATAAAATTAATTATTTTGAATCTATGTTATTTCATCATATAAGACTATTGATACCAATAAAATTTAAGTTTTAAGGCTACTTTTAGAGTATAGTACATTGTATGCACTCATTTTTGTGAGTGCGTAGAAGAAACCACAACAAGGAACTAATTTAGTATAGAAACAAAAATTAGCTTTATATTTCGATGACTCTAAAATGGAGAAATGTTTGACTCTTAAGTGCACCGAAGAAGCCATGCACCATAAGAACAAATATAGTATAGAAAAAAATGAGGTTTGTTTTTTGATGGGTTTAAAATGAAGGAATGTTTTTTACTCTAGAATGATTATGCAAAGTATGTTCATATAATATATTAGATATATTCAACGAAAAAAATATATATTAGATATATGACTAATTGGTTTGATTGGTTAGAAGTGTCAGAAACCAAACCACCTAAATCAAACAATCTAAAAAATTGGGCTAATACCACTAGAAATACCATCCTTTCGCGAAAATGTCATTTGTATTAAGTACTTTCAATAAACACAAAAACATTCCAAAGTATTAGGGGTTTGACTGTTAGAATTGGCGGTTGCCCTGACGATGGTCAACTAATGTTTGACTATTGCTTATGTGGTGCTTAGGTGTCACCTGCATATGTGTCACGTAAGAAATTAATATTTAAAAATATTAATTTTATTTTGAAAATAAATATATTAATTTATTTTTAAATACTTTTTTCTAAATATTCTTTCTCTCACCGCTGCTGACGTCTTGCCCATCTGCATCTTCCATCAATCCCCAATGCCGCTCTGACGACGGAGGTAGGGAGCTCCTCGTCTTCCTTCTCGTTTAGCGGTCGTTCTGATCTTCCACTTGCACAGGCAAGTCGGGATCTGGGCGACGGGAGGGGCTCGTCTACTTCCCTCTTCTCCTTCTCCGACGGGAGGGGCTCGTCTACTTACCGACGGCTCGGCGCGAATCCGGAGGTTGACCATGTGGGTGAGGAGGGACGACAGTCGCAACCGCAGTCGCCAATCTCAAGCAGTCGAAGAAAAAGAAGACAGGAGGGATCAGTGTAACCCATAGGGAAGGATGAAAGGTCGGTCATGGATAAGGGGACAGTGGGGATTGAAGTTTATTTCCAATCAAGAGAGAGATGAGATCGAGAGAGATAGGGAAGATATTTTTCTTTTTTCCATTTTTTTTTATTTTGCTTTGACAAAAAATATTATCAAAATTTTTCACATTAGCAACCACGTCATCGATGACTCTGTTAACTCCTAACAGAAAACTAACCTCTGATATACAATTGTCATATATCGAAAGTTGTGTAATACAAATGACACTTTTGCTAAATGATGGTATTTCCAATGGTATTAGTCCTAAAAAATTTAACCAAGTGAAAACAATTACAAAAATTAACAAAATCAAATCATCCGAATACAACCGGTTAAAATGATTACAGGCTAACCATTCCATTTAAACACCCATAAGACTCAACTCGAGCTAGTTCTGTCTTGCAGCTTATCAGCCTGACCTCGATCCCAAGTTCTCCTTCAAAATTTTCCACCACGCATTGAATTGAGCTAGGGCGGAACGATTCTCAGAAGCTCGCTTGCTTTGCTGCTTCAATTCTTTCAATTCCCTGGAAGCTGTGAGATTCAACTTCTCCATTTCAGCAATTGTTGAACTCTTATCATCACGAATTTTAGCTTTACACGCAAGCAACTGCTGAATTTTGGCATCCAACTCCATCTCTTCTTCCCCAAGTCTCGAAACTTCAGCCTCCAGACAGCTTAGCTGCTTCCCTCTATGGATCAGCCTTGCTTCCACATGCTTGGCATGAACCATAAAAGTTTCAGCATCGTGTACGTTTTGAATGTAGAAGAAGCTCTTTTTAAACTCAGACACCAAATCCTCGAGAATCATCTGCTCAATCGGGTCAGTTGTCTCATCAGCAATCCTCAAGGCTATTTCCTCAACATTGTTGGATGAATTGGACTTGTGTATGTCCTCAAGCGACTTGTTTAAGAACCTAAACAACTCTTCTTTCTGCTTCCGCAGTAGGCTAGATCCACTGCACGAGCTTGAGTTAGCAATTTCATCAGCTGCCGTAGATTTCATACGGCTCGCCACAGATGCGAGTTCTGCCATCAAGTTTCTTGAAACTAATTGCACCTCCGGTTCAGCAGGTGAATTAGCAGCAACAGCTGGCTGGTCAGCTACAGTTCTTTGGGCCGAACCACAATGTCTTGCAACACCTGGCAAAGATGCTCCTTTCTGCAAGTACAAGAGGCAGACTTAAGTACTTAACAAAACCAGATGAGGACTAAGAAAGTTGAATCAAATAGGTTCTTGAGAGACTGAACCTTAGACACTTCAGCTTCAAATATGACCGTATCATTCACTAGGAATCCTTTACACGGATTGTAAAGCTGGCTATGCAGAACGAAAGGCCAGAATCCAGAGTGCAGGTTGCCAGCTACGAATTCATGTTCTGCCACTGTAGAATTGAAAACAATGGGACTTCTTAGCACATTCAGCTAATACACAGAGAAACGAACTTAAGCACAAGCATATTGTACTGCAACAGCCCTGGAACGAACACTGAGAAGTCCATAAAGCGAAAATCCTGAACAGCCTAGAAAAGAGCAAAACTGGTCTTCCACTATCATGGCTTCGAGATTTCGCAGCCAGGCCATAAACCGACCATGTGTATTGGGCCTATTGGCTATTTGAATAATGCATCAGAAAAACACATCGAAAGAAGAAATTTGGCACTTAGCAGGCTAAGGGATTCTGCAAAAATAGAAGTCAAACTCGTGGCATACAGCAAGATTCCAAATTGTCAAACACCCACGAAGCCGAGACAAGGTAGAGAATAAAACCCTTTGTTAAGGAGTGGCAGTTGATCTGATCGACAAGGGTCAGACGGAACAGTGTGCATTGAATCGGCGGAGCGCAACCTGCTTGCGGCGGCGAGGAAACCAAGCGCAAATATGCGGAGATAAAACGGCCACCACCAGCCTTTGGATATAAAACAATCCTCCTGCCGAACAAACAACAATCGAACAAAAAGAAAAGCTGTGGTCGATAGGAAGGAGACGGTGTAGCATAGACTGCTTAACTTAGGGTTTTAGAAGATCTATCTACAAGAATCTCGTATCAGTCGAAGGGAGATGGCCAGTTACCATTTACGGCCCCCGGCCGCAAAGATATCAGAATCGAGATTGTTTACGTTCAGCTTTGAGAAATGCGGAATCGTCCATGTGAATTTCTCGGTATCCTCCTTGGCCCGCTTCCTTCTCTCCTCCGCAACTTCCATCCTCTGCCTCAACCTAATTGGGAAGGGAAGACCGGAAGAGAAGAGAGGGGAAGAGTTCAAGCTAGACGATTTACGAAGGAGAAAGCTCTTAAGATTTGAAATGGTAAAGAGATTACTAGATTAGAGACGATACTGGATGGAGGAGTGGGTGCGAGAACTCAACAGTCGGTCGCCGCGTGATCGTACGTAGGCACTGTTCCGCGCCCAGGATTGGGCAACTTTTGGGCGGCAGTAGGGCTCTTGTCTCGAATTGCGATAATTTTTCGCACTTTTCTATTATTCGGAAAATATGAGTTTTTTTTAATATGAATTTAAATGGGCAAATGAGAAGATTTACTAAAATAGTTTATGTTTGGGATTTTTCCAGAAATAGCACATTTTAAAAGAAATTACAAAAATAGTACCCACCCGAAAATATTTACAAAATAGCACTTTTTTATGGACCGCACCTCCAAGGTGCGTTTTATATGTAAACTGCACCTTGGGTAAATGAGAAGATTTACTAAAATAGTTTATGTTTGAGATTTTTCCAGAAATAGCACATTTTAAAAGAAATTACAAAAATAGCACCCACCCGAAAATATTTACAAAAATAGCACCTTTTTTATGGACCGCACCTCCAAGGTGCGTTTTATATGTAAACCGCACCTGGAGGGTGCGTTTTATATATAAACTGCACCTCTGCACCTGTAAGGTGCGATTGATTATCCTGGGCCAAAACCGCATCTTGACCATGCGGTTTCAGGTCTGACCTACATAAATCGCATGGTCGAGGTGCGGTTTTGGCCTGACCTATCAAAACCGCACCTTGGTGATGCGGTTTGCTTCTCCAAAACAAAACCCAACATATAGTCATGCAGAATAACAGACGTGGGGCTGCATGGCAGACGAAAATCGCATCTCTAAGGTGCGGTTTTCATCAGTGATTTTGCCTATAAAAGACTGCACGGAAAACCTCATCTCTTCACACATCTCCTTCTCCCTTTTCAATTTTTTGTTCTAGCTCTATATTTCTTTAGTGTTTTTGCGATTTACGTTAACTCGTAAGTTTATTTTGTATTACTTTTTATTGTTATTGGTGATTTGTGATTTTCATGATATTAACTGAACTACGGTTTTTTTGCAGATGGCATTCCAAAAGTTCACGCTTGGCTTACGGTGGAATGGTTATACGGAAGAGACCGGAAAGGGGGTCACCTACGTCGGTGGCAATTTTCAGAAAATAAAGGTCGCTATCAGACCGCTGCTTGAAGACCTCCATCAAATGTGCACTAACGTTACTTGCATGGATGGCACGAGAAAAGTTGATCGTATGGTGTACCAATATCCAAACAGAGAAAGTGGGTCATTGTGGCTTGAGGAATATCTCATAACCACTCTGGATGAAGTAGATTCCATGCTCGAATTCTTGAGGTCCAACAATCTTTCCAAAGCCGAGATGTTCGTTTACACCGAGGCGGCCGTTGGCGTTGGAGGTCATTCTGGACACAGTCAAGCATCTTGTATCCATGGTGGAGGTGAATTATATGGAGATCATCCCTACCAAAGTTACCATGATTCTCATTCATATTTTCAGTACCAAGAGCAAGGTGAAGGTCATCATCAATCTTTCCCGTCATATGAAGAAGAAGTTCAGCCGGACCTCCCCAACCAACCTCAGTACAACTTTCAATCAGGAAGCGGTAGTTTTCACAACTACCATTATGGAGCTGATGAAGGTGCCTTTCATGCTCTGGATCAGATGGAAGCTGCCCTGCCAGCACCAGTTAGTGACCCCTCCGATGAAGAAGGAGAGAACAACGTCAGTGCAGACAGCTCCGACCCTCTTGAAGGTGCTGATGATTCAGTACCAGAGTCAGACTCAGATAATGATGATGATGTGGCTCGTGACCGTGTACCAGTCCCCTACTACAATCACATTCCAGACGACAATTGGATGGTCGACAGCGACATGGAGCCGCCAGACGTTCCAGTATGGGGTCCACTCACTAGGTTTATGAAGGGCCAACAATTTGGCTAGAAGAAGGAGGTGCGGCATGCCATTGAGACTGAAGCAATGACTTGGCATTTTGAATGGAACACAACTCATTCCAACACTAAAAGGCTCTTATTTAGATGCCGTAATCATCACGAGGGGTGTAATGTTAGGATTCGGGCCATCAACAGCAAGAGGCACGACCACTGGGTCATATCCCGTGCGGTGAACACACACACATGTGTGTCATCCATAACTTACCAAGGCCATCGACAGTTGAAATCCAGGGTGGTTGATGCGGCTATCAAGCATCTAATTGAGCAAGATCCGGACCTGAAGGTGAAAGTCATAATCGCTGACATTGCAAGTCGTTATGGTTATATGATTAACTATAAGAAGGCGTGGCATGGAAAGCAGAAAGCTCTGGCCGCCGTCTTTGGTGATTGGGAAGAATCATATGCATTCCTTCCCAGGTTAATTTTGGCATTGGAGGCGTCTAACCATGGTACTGTTTTCTCCCCTCGATACCAGATGAAGAGATACAACCCCCAGAGCCAGGTAACAAACGCCATTTCAGACGACTTTTTTGGGCATTCAAGCCATCTATTGATGGTTTTGGCTTCTGTCTCCCTGTGATCCAAGTGGATGATACATTCCTTACCGGCAAGTACAAGGGCACTCTCCTGATTGCCAGTGCGGCGGATGCAAACAGACAAGTCTTTCCTTTAGCCTTCGCCATTGTTGAGGGAGAGAATGCTGATAGCTATGGATGGTTTTCCGACAAATTCATCTCCACGTCACTAGGAGGACGAACCTGACAATAATCTCTGATCGGCACGCCGGCATTAGAGCTGCCATCTTAGGTTTAGATCCAGCCTGGAAGTGGACCCAAAGGTGGTGCATACGACACTTCGAGAGCAACTGGAACCATCATTTCAAGCGGAAGAAGATTGTTGATAATTTGTGGTGGATTGGTAAGCTCTCTAGATGTCGTTTAATTATGTCAGCTAACAATATCTTGTAATTAGGAGAGTGGTGCACTTGTTAGACTCTTTCTAAAGAGATGCATGCCTAAGGAAATGGGGTTTTAAGCGATTATCATGGTCCTATTATTTCCTGGGAAAATCGGGTTTTAAGCAATCTTCGGATCCCCCCTTTTTTTGCCAAACAGGCTGTGTTTCTAAAGAGATGTATACCTCTCCTAAGAGTCTAACGAGAGTGCCTCTCGGTTGTTCGAATTGTACTAAACTGCCAAAAATTGACTAACGATATACTTTTCTGTGCGTTCCTCAGCGGTTGCCTACCAATAGAAACAATGGTCTCCTTCCTCCATCTCTCAGCTAATGCGGTGATGAGTTGGAGATCGACTTTGATGCCGTTAAAATGCCTAATCGGGTCCAACCGTGCCCTTTTGAGAAACGGCAAGATAGCTGGGTGGCATGGGAGCACATTGGTCGTACCCCTGTAGCGGAGTATTGTTTGTGCCTCCTAGCGAAAATTTACAAGTTAATTATTATATATTAGTAAGGGTTTTTTCTTATAATGAAATTAATTAAATTAAATTATTTAACTTCAAGCAGAATTTTATTATCATAAAAATACATTTCATATAATTAACATAATAACATTCTAAATCAACAATAATTTAAAGAGATACATACATATTATCATAAAAAAAACATCCTAAATTAATTAACGTAATAACATTCTAAATGAAAAATAATTTAAAGAGAAACATACATATTATCTTAAAATAAACATACCAAATTAATTAACATAAATAACATTGTAAATGAATAATAATTTAAAGAGAAACATACATATTCAAATATTTGAAATTAATAAAATTCATTTTATACACATAAAAATAAATCCTATTGGTTGTTTGGTAAATAATTTAATCGTATTGGTTGATTTAAATAATTTAATCGAATACAGAGCAACACTCGTTAGACTCTTAGAAGAGGTATACATTTTCTTAGAAACGCGATCTTTTTGACAGAAAAAGGGGGATCCGAGGATCTCTTAATACCCGATTTTCCCAGGGAATGGGAGGATATGATAATCGCTTAAAACCTCATTTCCTTATACGTGCATCTCTTTATAAAGAGTCGAAGTAAGTGGCGCTATGTATTCAATTAAATTGTTGAAAACAACCAACACGATTAAAAATTCAACATAAATTTATTTTGTATTCCACTAAATACATTAGCAAAATAAAAGGAAAAACAAATGATGAAGAATTGTATGTACCGGGTGATCGTTCCAAACATTCCTTGACCAATGGTTGGGTTGGTCGTACAAGTCGGTTGGATCCAACGGTCCTTGCTCGAGATAATACCGTTGGTTGTATATATCCACGTCGTCCCCAACCTACGAGAAAATAACAAAGAGGTTAGTACATAGATTAATTAAAAAGCTTATAACAACAACAAAAATTAAACCAGAATAATGAGTACGTACCGCTAGAAAATCATCAACATAAACTCCCTCTCCTTGCTACCAATCGCTCATTTTTTGGGGAAATTCGGACAGAGATTCGGCTAGGCTCGGCGGGTTTTTAGGAAAAAATCAAAGATTTTTTTTCTGATGGCAGATTGGACTTAGCTGCAACCAACAGACCATTATTTCCTGGGCTTTTGGGAGGGGAGGGGTTAGAGAGCTAATTCTAGAGAGAGAGAGAGAGAGTGGAGAATGGTTGTGGTGTGAAAAAATGTGGGGGGGGGGGGGAGGGGAGGGGGCGGTCTGGTAATTTTGCCCCATTCAAAACTGCTCCTTGCCGAGGCGGTTTACGCTCCCCGATGCTTGACCGCACCTCGGCGCAACGGTCTTCGATCCGTGGCAAGGATCGCTGACCTGGCAAGCGGTCCGCCACTGGATCGCTTCTTCATCCTGCGGTCCGCAAGGCCGCTGCCCACCAAACACTGACCACACCTCCAAGGTGTGGTTTTCAGTCTGAGGTGGACTAAAACGCACCTCCAAGGTGCGGTTTATACATAAAACGCACTTGGAGGGTGCGGTTTATTTATAAAACGCACCTTGGAGGTGCGGTTTGATAATAATTGTGCTATTTTTGTAAATGTTGTGGGATGTGTGTCATTTTTGTATATTTTTTTAATAGATGCTATTATTGGAAAATTTTCTTTATGTTTGATCATAAAAAACTGAATCGCTATTCGTCTCCCTAAAATTTAAATTTTATCGCCCTAAAACGCAACAAATTGACATATCTACCCTCAACCCGATTTCAATTCTAAACCCAAACCAACAATCCCTAATCCCTTCCTCACCCCAATCCAAATCTGTCGCCGCTCAAATGGAAGAAGAAGAAGTAGGCGTCGCCTACTCCGTCGTCTTTGCAAGCCGGCTTCCCCTGCTCTGACGCCTCCCTTCCTGTTCATCCTCGAGCAATCGCTCTATCTGGGTAGAAGAGGGGGATAAATCAGGCAATGATCTGC